ACAGAAACTGAAGGCTGGATTAAAATGTATTTGTCCCTCGCCTCCCTCTGCATTGTGTCGAGCACAAAAAACTAGACATTGTATCAGTTACCCAACTTTTTTCCTTTTATTATTTATAGGCCATATTTAGCACCTTAAGAACAGCATGCTTCCGTTAGGCAGTTTAAATGGAGGGCATGAAAGGAGAGTTGTTCTTGTGAAATGTTCCTCAGTATTTTGATGAAACAGTTTTGTTTGCGGATACAGCGGATGAAGTTTGCCCTCCGCCACTGTATCAAATAAACAACTGCCAACAACAGAAAGTAGTCATCGCAACTCACAGCACTCAGTGGCACAATGGACGGACCGATGTTAGGCCATTACGCTGTGACAGTGAGCAAAGAGTCGCTTCAAACTAAACTGCTTTCCACTACACATATGAATCTGTTCGTGCCAACTAACTTGACATACATTAGCATTATGTGGTTTGAGCAGTGAAACCAGCTATGGCTGGGAGTTCATGCGAACCCGGGGACAAAGGCGCTTTCGATAGCACTACCTCCAGCTCACAACTACTCACATTCGTCCCGGTGTAGAAGACCACTTCTTAAAGACAATGTATGAAGTAGGTAGTCAGTAATTGTTAAAGCGTACATTAGATACATCTTAATTAAATATGATATTATGCCATCAGCGCCTCGAGGCACATGCGGCGCCGAGAAGAGAGGGGCAAGACACAGTCTGCTACACAGGAGAGCGTGTGGCCTCCTTCTTCATTTGCGCCAGAAACAACAATGAGTGTGAGCTTCAATCTCTCAACGCGCATGTCCGTCATTCGACCAGCCAGCCTGGCTACCTACCTACTTTGCCTCAACCCAGTCGCCATAGCCCGTCCAATCAGCTTATGGCCGATCTCAACTGTGTACTTTTCCTCTCCTTCCCTACAGCAAGAGCTTTCCTGGACTACCATCTCATTGGCTGGCCTGGGAGACTTATATTTTGGGTTTAAGTGGACCTGTTAGAGAAGGCGGTCATTCTCCAATGCTTTTAAAGTATTTTAAATGTTCAGTTCACTTTACATTCCGGCGACATTAAAACATTTTGGTCCTTGTAAAAAAAATCAGGAGATACTAAGATGTCATACGATTTGTAATTTAAGAAATATTCTTACCCATAAACTTTTTCTCATGATCAATTATACTCAGCCAAAAAAAACCCTTGTTTAGAAGGTTGGACACAATTAAATACTATCAAAATGCTCCAAGTCCGTCATGTAAAATGGCTGAGGCAGAATATGCATCGCGGATGATCATCACAACGTAGTCAGTGTTGTAAGAACAACAGTCACGAACCGACCATCGGTGCCAGTCATCGAATTGGCGTGCAAATGAGGAGACATTTGATCGCGGTGTCACTGATGTCTCCTGGCGATTCCACTGAATCCAGAGTTTCGTCCTGTTTGGGAGCTGTATTTAGGAAATGGGGGAATGTGCCGGCCATCTTGCTTGTCGTAAGGATACCAACCCAAAAGCTGAGTAATCTAATAAAGAATGCGGTTTAAAATAGTTTTGTGAGGATAAGGAATGGTGTCCATTCCTCCTTGCCACCGTATCCTCACTTCAGTGCCACCTAGCCACATCTATCTGTGTTATACACAGCTAGCAGAGAGGTGGAGGTATCGCATGTCACTCAGTTGACTTATTCAAACAAGTACAGCAGATGTACACCAGATTTTCCACAGCCAGAGTCGCTTTGGCTATAAATAGAATTTCCACAGAACACAGGACTGGGATAGTTGCCAAAGATAGACGCCATCTTCAGCCCTTCTGCTAAGGGTCGTTATAGATTCTCCCGTCTGTAGCAATATGCACTTCTTCCGTCACGTCAAGGCTTAGTGCCTAGTAATGGAAATTGGGGTAGTTGACCTTTGGGATGGGGTTTGCCTTCCGCTACAGTCAACGTAGCGCGCCGAGCTTTTCATGAAGACGGAAAGGGTCATAATAGCAGGACAGAGAGTGCATTGCCGGTGTGCAGAAGCGCTGGGGGCTACTGGCATAGCCTCCGGGCCATGTCACCTGGCGGAAGTACGATAGTGGAGACTTAAGTGCCCCCAAAACCCAAACGAAGAGTTAAGCAAACAATTAAAACAAGCCAGTATGCTACGAGTGAATTCTGGAGCCCAAGTAACCGTGAATAAAATTTGAAAAACATTTCTATACAACGTATTTGTTAATGGGAGGAAATGATTTACGAAAAAGTAAAAATGCAGGCCTTTGGGGGGACTACGATCGCGTTTGATAGTTCGCGCCTGAGCCCTATCCTTCGTTTCGTGCATTCGCATTGCAAACACTTAAAAACCTGGTAATTACTGAATTTTCAAGGGATCATTATAAGTGAGAAATGTCCTCAAGCATCGTTTTAGGACCCCAGATGGAGCTCCAGTCTCGATGCCCATAGCTTCAGGGGTGCTTGAAGGTGGGACTTTGGAGCGCGCCGCGTAGGATACATTTTAAAGTAGCACTTCTACAAAAGGCATGACTTGTATGCGCATTCAATGAGGAGAGGTGCTTGTTGAACGGCTATTCGGAATATCCGGGAACTCCACATGCACACACCACTTTTCGCGGCTTTAGCTGTGGTAGAACCAAAGGAGACGGAAAACAATAAATGGAGTATGTTTTGCCTCTTGAGATCATTCATGAAGGCGCCATGCCAAACACAAATATCAATTGAGAAGCGTCCGTTGTCCATTTTCAAAGCACTTCAACACCTTGACCGTTTAAACATGCAGATTGTAGTGCTCGAATGTACATTCTCCAACTGTAATGCCTGCCACCTTTCTTCCACAGGAATGCAGTGAGAGCGCGAAGCCTCGAATTAAACAAGGATCTATCCAAAGCTATTTACTTTAATATCAAACCACAGCAATTTAGACGCAGATCATTAGGTGCAATTGGGCAGCCAACAGCTGCAATTTCTGTGACAGACCTGCCAAGCGTGTCAGCTTTGCGTGCACTTAAATTGGCATTGGCATAAAAAAAATTAAAGCAAATGTGGCAAATCACTATGAGCCTGTTAGAGCTCAGAGGGGTCTTAGGACCTCCAGTGGGGTTGCTATCGCTCAACGTGCAACAACAGTCGCGAGTTAATGTGTCTAGATTTTGCAAAAAATTTATTTCTGCGTGATCTTGCGTACACTTTTATGTACATAAGAAGCTGATTTGAATGCGTGATTCTGTTTGACCAAAAATAGCGGACCTAGTACGAATCCTGATGGCCCTGAGTGAGCAAATCTAGGCAGTTGCAGTATCAGCCTATATTATGACTATGCAATTTTCCTCAACCCCCTGTACTAGAACAATTTTTTGTTTATCATTTCTGCACAGATTCAAATTTACTCCTCGTAAATTTAGTAAAGTGTAACGTTATTAAAAGCACCCCTTTTGCGCTTCTTCATCTCCTGTTTTGTACCAACATGCTCCCTGTAAATTAATAATTTTCTACACGCGAGAAAAGGACTTGCTGAAGGGATGCTGAGATATTGCGTGCTCGAAGGATGAGAAAGAATTAACTACTCCTGTCATCCACAAAGATACCTGGATTTTTGCTACCTTGAAGCTGAAAGCCGAGGGATTTGCTCTCAAAATCTGTTCGCGGTGTCTTAACGATGGCTAGTATCGTAGAGAAAATGCTTCACGCAAGACTTAAATCTACTGAAATAAGCACTGGAAGTGCTCCTTTGTTGCGTCTGATCACTCATATGTGTGGACTGGTGAGCGTTGCAGTGGAAAAGAAAAATGTGGGTCAAGCAAAAATCTCTCCTAGTCGGGAGGCGAGAGGCACTGACTGGAAGCCATGACATTAAGATAGAGACTTCGAGTGTCTCTCCCTCTCCATTCCTTATCCTTCTCCCTTGGCCATTACAACGTGGTCGTTAAATGGCAAATCGTGAGCAATGTAAAACCGAAAGTTCTACATAGACGCCTATCAAGGCGAGAAGACAATTGGCCCTAACGTCAGTTATGCGTGCCTTGGATCCCCTTAAGTCTTGAATTGCATTTCAAATGCCAATCGCTATTTCGTGTCTTATTTGCTTGGAGGTTTGTTAACTAACATAGCCTGATGTTTAATATCCCCTCCTTTTTGCCGCTATAATCCCGTTTGAATGCTGTCTAGTCCTCCACAAGGGTTAAATCCAGTTTTTTGTAGGTAATGTAGGCATCTTTTTAACGGAAACTTTCAAATTGTTTTAGCAAAGCCTCTTTTCAGTTGTCAGTGCCTACATTTGCAAAGGTGAAAGCCGTTTCTATGCTCCGTCTACCATGACTCCTCACCGATTCAGCTATCCACGGCACGGTCCCCCTTTTTTCGATGTATAAGTCTAATATTAGACTGATGAAATTAAGATTTTTATCCATTTTGAAAGAATTTTGATTTATTTTCTCAGGTAATCGCCAAAGGCGTGGTAAGGATGCGCAGTTAACGGCGGTGGGCACGGGCAGGCCACCAAGCCACCAGTCTGATCACGGAAACTGCTGAAAGCGAAGAGCTCATCCAGGTGAAGAGACGACTTACATAAAAGCCCCGTCACACTGTACTTGGTGCTGCATAATTATCCAGAGCTTTTGCCCCATCTCACCGGGAGCAGAAGCATGCATGTAAAAGGTGTTTGTGTCATCCCGCCAGCGCACCCATTGTTGTCGGTTTTGTCATCTTGCATGGGTGACTCACTCACCCACGCCAAACCCCCTTTCGCCGGACAAGCCTCGTGGACCGACAACTTGCATGTATTTATGCGGATCAAGTAAAACCACTCTTTTTAAGCCTCATTTTGTGATTTGTATAGTAAGGGAAATGCAAATCAGTTTAACTGACGATGTAACTAGAATGATACCCATACGTTAGATGGAAACGATTTAAGAGCATGATGTCGTTTATCATAATTTAGTCATTTATATGATACTTTGAGTACTTGGTCAAATCTTTCTTTTGGTTTCGCTGACACTTATGGCTTCCCCTTTATGCTTCCGCTGGTCGGCATGGCCTCCGGGTCCTGCCAGGAACACCCCAATCCCTCTGTACGTTGGCACTGTCAATTCTACTGAAGTATTACGCCTTCTTTCATCTTTGAGGAAGTATCGTGGCCAAAGGACTCTACTTGGATTTCTATTACTGAATGCAAAACCTTAATGCAGCGGAGGAAGGGTATAAGCTGTGGATGGTAGAATCCGTGGCGATCCTTAGGAGAAGGATTTAAATTACGTCTACCCTTACCAACTATTCCACTTTCGCTTTCCGTGGGAATACTATTGACAACTTGGGTGACAATAGTGGTGAACCATCTAAAAATTTGTGCGTTAAGGAGCCATCTACTGTTCCTGTACAAATCTAAATCACTACTAGCCGAATGGAATCCAGATTGATATGACTGGGCAGTACTAAAATGAGAACAACATAGCAAGGAGGGATAGACGCGAAACCATAGTTCCAAAAAATTACTTTTAACACTGTACTTTATCTAATAACTATGCTTTCGGGCCAGTGTTCTTACAACTATCGATGGACACGCGTGATGACCAGTACATTACCCAGTCTTCCAATACAACTGCCAGGCAGGAGGAAACTCCAGATCCAGTGTAATCACCAAGAGGGATCAGTGATGTTGCCATCAAGCATCTTTCCGGCTGCGTGGAATTTCCATGACTGGCGTAAATGGTTTGTTTTTTCTTGTAAAGCGATGGGCGACGCGGAAGGTTGTCCAAGAGCAAGCCCGGGGATGGCGCTCAAAAGGAGAGGATTAGGTGTCTATGTAATACTTTGGTTTTTGTTTGACTCCTTTTTTATTTCGTGAGTATTTTGGGCCAAATCTTTGTGCCTTCGCTGGGCAGAATGACCTCCATGCCTCCGAGAACACATATTGCTCCTATCAATAACGCCTTCTTTTGTTATTAGGGAAGTCTTTGATCGCCACAGCTAACTCCTTATTTTACTCAAATTTTAGCCTTCACAGCATAAGCAAAACTCTTCTAGAAGTTCAAATATTGTACATAGTGTTCTCGCTTACTGTTCGCAGCCTAGGCATCGCTGTATGAAAGTTGGGTCATTTAGGAGCATTCCAGACTTTTTGGAAGCTCAAAGTTGCCAGGCCTACTAGAATTTTCCGCAAGTTAATACTTTGGCTGACTTAAAAATCGGGAGAGTAAATTACTATTTTTTTTGGTGAATATCGAAGGCCTGGGTAATCTGAATTAAAATAATCGAGTCATTCTTCATTACTAATGGTGATGATATTCCATTATTTGGTGACCCTTATAGGCATTTAAAACTGTTGAACAAGGAGCAATCAGTAAGTTTGTTTCAACAAAGTGCCAGTTAAATTTATGGGAAAAGTTGTCCAAAACGATGTCCTCTCTGACTTCAGCTGCATAGTATTTGACATCCATTAGTGGAGAACCATCAGCACTTTTCCTAAGGACGTTAGCGGAGGTTAATTTAGAACTTGCTTTGACTTTGTGGCAAGGTAGTGTGCCGAGTCTCCCACGAAGTCGTAATAAGCCAGAGTCTTATCACCGACTTACAGAAGAGTTTAGAGGTTACCGGTGTGGCCCGAAGACCAGGCTGCAGAGAGGAAGCGCACCCTGCGGAGCCTCAAATGCCCGCGTAGCTAAACAAGCAGTTAAACAAAATGTCGAATCACTACAGCAGGGGAAAAGCGGTGCTGTCCTACAGGGGAGTAAGAATCATTTACCATAAATGCAGCATTAATGCCTTAGTTGTCTTGTACTATTGCAATAAAAACTGCCAAGAATAACGATTTGAATGTATTTCCTAAGGAGACTAGGATTGCCCTCTGCTGGCCACCACGTATGCCCATCGCTAGCCGTAGGCGCGCTGGCCTAAAAGCCGAGTTATTTAGTAAAGGAAGGTATTTAAAATAGTTTTTTGAGGATCAGGTTTCTCCCCTATTGTCCAATTCTAACTTCATTAGCCATCAGGGTTCTATTCAACTAGCAGAGGTATAGAGGAGGTATTGAGAATTCCCTTGATTGACATCTCCACACAAGTACTGTTGCCAACTCCGCTTCGAACTTTCTCAGATGATTAACGGCTAGTGCTGCTTCAGTTGTTAATATCATGCCCGCAGACCACAGGGTTGGGATAGTTGCCGAAGGTAGACATCATTATTAACTCCTCTGTTAGGGGTCATTACTGATTTTTCTATCCACAGCACATGCCCTTCTTCCGTCACCTGAAAGTTCATCACCCAGCAGTAGAAATCAGGATAGTTATTCCCTTAAGGATTGAGTTCGCTTTCCGCTGCTATCAATGTAGCGCCCTGAAGCTTTCCTGAATGCGAATGCAGGCATAATACTCTGGAGGAATATGCATTGCTAACTTCCATAAGTGCTTTGTTTTCTTGGGCTTAGATCAAAATAACTGCTTGCTTGATTCCATTACGTCCTTTTATCTAATTTTCCAACAGCCCCATCTTTTTCTCTCCTCCACAGCTAATTTAACTGACGCTGCTTTTTTCCTTTTATTCTCTAGAGGTTCAAGTAGGTGGAAAATTCTCTTTGTGGGAATGAAATAGGTTTGAACTGAGTAATTTCAGAATGCCTTTTGCTTTTAAACCATTACCAATAATCTTTTTATAGCATCATCTACTATCTCTTCTAATAAGTGGAGCAGTCTTTCAATATTTCCATTTTGCTTATTAGACCCAGTTAGTTGGGATTTCAAGTGGTACATTGTTAAAACCTTTAAAGGGACATGTAGGAGAAAGCAGTTCTCATTCGCATCATTTTTGTTAAGGCTATGCCACAAACAGGAAATACACCTTAAAACGGGGTTTTTACACCTGACTGACTCGGTGCATTCAATCTGCCTCCGGTCAGGAGCACCATCTAGAGACAAAGTGATCGACCAACACGGAAAAGAATTTCTTCTAAAGGGTTTCTACCCCAACTTGGCTACATTAGGAGGTTGAATGGTGGTGTCAAGCTGTTAAGACTTCCCTCATTCCTGCATTTAAGCAATTTGTTTTTTTGCGCAAATATCAAAAAAAAAAACGGTAGTTGATTCACCTAAAGGTAACAGACTTTACCGCCTCTTTGAAGTAAATTCATGACTAAATGCGCATTTGGAGGTTGGCCTTAGTCAACACAACATTTGCGTGAGGCATGGGCTTGTCCCCACACCTGTCCGAGATTTCACTCTGATGCCAATCTAGCAGACAGCACTTGTGTTAAATCAGTACTGGGGCCTAAAGCGAGGTAGGCTACTGGTGGTTTCTTGCAATTTTTATAAAATATGACTTATTTTGGTTATCGCCTTAGTAGCACGAGATCCTCTTAGCCTCCACAACTTTGGTTAACACTACTTCCCCAGTAGACGCCCCGGGTGCGGTTTTTCCTCCAACCGAGGCGGTATTCATGAACCCAAATATTTTTGCCCGGATAACTTCAGCCCTTACGGTCCTGGTGGCCATTTTGGCATAGTTACACTCCATCCAACACTTTCTAGGTTAATAATAAGCTTCTTCTATACTGGTGGTAGTTGCTATTACGTTCCTATTCCATTCTGTAAATACAGGAAAGCTGACAGGCTGGCATGAGGTCGTAATTAAGCAGATTACCATGTGCAATTAAAGAATCATTAGCATGTCACGATGATAACTATGTCTGACAATCGCTAGTTTATTCGTTCACTAACAAGCAATTCGGAAGGCAAAGGAACCATTTTGCCTCCCCTAGTTGTAGAGGCTTGATGGAGGAGAGATTTTTTTGTAGTTAGGAAAGACCATCGTTTAGGGGGAATCCTTTTTAGTTTCATCTTCAAGAATTCTTTCTCCGGCCCTTCAGTCTGACACAGTGACTCAAATTAACACTTCAAATGGTAAATAATATTTTGCTTATCCATAATGACAAGTTCTTGTTCTGTGCCGCTTGAAGGAGGTAGGAATGCGAACCATTGAAGTCGGTTTAGCATTGCATTTGTAGGGGTCAATAGTCCTCATGACAAGAAGTTTTTAACTGCAGAGTATTGGTAATATTCTGTAAAAAAAAACGAGTTAAAACTGTAAATTCGCAATGTTGTCATACTTTAAGCAATTATAACTTGTTCGAGAAGGATGGAAGACCCGTTGACGACTGCCAGTGGAGCAGTAATTTGATGGTTTTGCAAGGAAGGTATAAAACCAACAAATGTTTGACAATTGAATCCTCTTCATCTTATTTGAATCTATTCTAGTGAAATTGAATACCAGGTTTAGAGATGAGTTAAAGTTAGTCATCGCCACCGAATTTGGCCTGTCCGATCACATCATATTAGTTCAACACGTTCACTGCCAGCGTCACGTATATGTGACAGGCGTTCATCATCAGTTTATGATAATCGGTTGAAGAAGGAATCACATCGCAAGCACTTTGGGATGGGTTCAGAATGGCTAAACGTATGTGAGATGCTCTTCTTCCAAAGCTAATCCAATTTGTCATCATGAGCGCAAGAGGTGAAGTGGTACAAGGGTTGGTGCCATATTGAAAGCAAAAACCATCATCAAGGTGGCCGGTTGTCCTCTGTTGAATTTGGGCATATATTTGCCTGGGGAAAGCAAACGTGAATTAATGTTCAATCATGAACTCTGAGAGAGCCACAGAATTCCAAGATTAGTTTTATTTCCTACTAAAAGCAAGCCACATCTAAATCAAGAATCTGATTATGATTTTTTTGCGATATATTTTTAAGAAAACTTGGAAAGTTCCTCCTTACAAACTAGTGACAGCAGTTACTTTCAAAGGATTCAAATAAGTCCCTTTTTTACGTGAAATTTGTCAATTACTTTGGAGATGAGAAATTAACAAAAACAGTTTTAAAAGACAGAAAAGTTATGTGATGTGAATTTATTAAAAAAATTTGTTTTTGTTTAGAAAATAATATCGCAAATAACTATTTATAGCGGTTTCATATGTATTTTTCAAATTAAACTATCGACCCAACCTTTGACCCACAAAAACGAACCAATAGCTTAAAGGGGGAGTTATCGCTTTGTCGTTTTAAACAAGCGTGTTGTGGAATTTGCTGGGAAGATATGCAGCCAAGGTAAAATTAATGCATTGATTGGCCTTTTGGTGTTTTGTACAGGAAAAGGCACCGATAAAAGTAGACCTGGTCGTTTAGTAATGACGAAGGGAAAGAATTCGGTAAGTAGATTAGGCACACAATGCACATTTTCTCTCTACTATCGAGTGCAAAGAATAAACTATAAGGGGTGTTTAGGGTGGATACCACCGAACAACATCGGTCACGATAACTCGATTTCTGGGCAAACTCCTATTAGCATCTAAACAAGAGTCGGAGATACGGAAATCACAAGTAGAAATTGGGAATTGGTTTAAAGTGTACATTTGTCCACTACTAGAAGGGAAATCACACTCATTTGCCGCAAAAGTGGGAGGGACCAAACATGAAACAACCTTTTTCATGGAACCCTGGCTCCTGTCACATGCGCACACACACACACGCAACACATGGCCAGCAATAAAAGGGAGGTAAAGTACAGCCCATCTGGAGAGACGCACGACGCCATGCCATATTCCTACGGGTCCGGATGAATTCGCTCGCCTGCAGCATTGACTTTTGCGAAAGAAAATACGTCATCACTGTGTACTTACTTTCCTGCCATTCCAATTTAGAAGGAAGGAGAAATATTCCACCTATTTGCCAGACGTGAAATTGAAGTAGGGCGAGCGTGGAAGTCAATGCGCAGCTTAATTAACACTTCTTTAGCCGTCCTTCACCGCAGAACTGCGAGTGTTTGTTGTTGAAAAACCCGCACGCATCCATGCCAACTTCAAACAGTTAGGAATGAGGGCGGCTTGGCTGTGATTTAAATCAGTGTTGGCAAGATTCCTCTCACTTATCCGACACTTCAAAAGGGAGATTTGGATTAGCCAATTTTGTGTGAGGACAAATGAGTGGTGGGAACTGATATTGTGGTAGGAATTCATGTTGCAATTTACGGCAGAAAAGTGAAGTACCCTTTCGAACAATTGCAGCGTCTCCAGTCTTTACGAAAGGCGAACGAAGTCATAATACCAGGGCTGAATATGCACTGCCGACGAATGGGCAAGGGGGGTGGAGGGCTGCTGACACGGCCCTGAGGTCATGCCGATGATAGGAAAGGCAATGATGGAGGCTTAAGTGACCGCGAAATTAAAACGTAAAGTCAAACAAGTAAAGAAATCCACAACAAACGTGCTTTTAGAATTCCAAAGGCAATGCATAAAAGACTCATTCTCTAAAGGAGTTGGCAAAGTTAGTAGAGAATATACAAATTTGGTCTCCACAAACCAGATGTGTTGTTTTAGCAAGTGCTTCATATAAATTCCCAAGGCGCGTTAGCCCTAACTCAAATCCGTACTAAGTCAGTGCAATAGAAATTGATAATTAAGTGCGCTCAGGTCATCGCCTTAAGGTCAAGAGTACCTAGCACTTTTTTAACGAAAACTGACATAGTGCAGATCCCAAAAATTAACATTATCTTGGCCATGACCCTGAGTTAATCAAATCAAACAGCAGCAGCGACTTAATGAGCATTTGTCGACGCTTCTCCGGTCCATAAAGTGCTGCTTCGGCTCTCACTTCATTATGCGCCTGCCGTTTTTTGCCTTCCGGGCTGAAACACGGTTTGGTGAACACGGTCAGCAGTAAAGCGGTGACTAACGCATGATAATAGGAGCGTCTTCTCACTGCTGACTAACGAGGTATGGTAATCACTCGACTTCCTTTCAGTTGTAAAACCGTTGAGTTGAGTCATGTGCTTGCTCAACTTGTTCATCATTTTGGATTCGCGATGTAGGATGAGCCTGAGAGGGCTGAGGTGCCAAAATGAGGTAAAGTGCGGCCTCCTTCCCTCTGGCCTACGCATGGACGACACTCAAACACGTGCGTCGGCGAATTCGTGATTGAATAAACAATGGGGGAAACGCGTGTTTACAACTTGTGTAAACATCACGTCTACTGGTAACAGCATCTGTGATATTGTGCTTTTTTACTATAAGTCGAATTGTCTTTTGCTCCCCATAAATCCGCGTATTAATGCGATCCCCACCTCAGTGACAATGATGTGTAAGTATTGAATATGTCAAAATCGGCAAACTGGTCCTCTAATTTAACGCTCCTAATTGTATCAATGGAGGCAATGCCAGATAGTGTAATCTAAATACCATTCTTGCTTTGTATTTGATGGGCTTTAGACTCAATGGCTTCCTGCAAATTGTTTACTTGCTAGGGGCCAAACACTAAGGCTTGAGAGCTACAAGTGAAAGAGCTTGCCTTGGGAACAGTCAAAGCTGGTGATACCGTAGTGAACAATTCCCATTCTCAATCAAGACGCTAGAATTCATTCTGCTTATGGCCAAACTGAGCCTTGAGAAGATCTAAGCCTTAGAAGGGTGAGCGAGAGATACTGCCTCACTCCCGTCCTCATCCTCATACTCGTCTCTGGCCTCTTCGTATATCTTTAAAGTAGTGACTAGTACCTTCTCTTGGCAAAAGCTTCAGACAATCACGCCACCACATACGAAATGATTTAGACACTGGGGTGGGAAATAAAAGTGAGGTAAAAACGGTAGCTGGGACTGAATCTGGTGCCTTAGTTTCCAGGATCGAAACGGTATTTAAAAGTGGATTCGGATGGTTAACAGATTGGGCGGGAGACTGCGATGACGACCATTTTAAAGATTAAAGGATTATGAGAATTTTCCCTGATGCTGTTATTCTATTGTTGATTAGCTTACACAATTCACCTAGCGATTCATCTCAAATTTAAAATGAGTTGTGAATAGAGGAAAGCGGTTTTTGTCTTTTTCATTGTGGCCAAAATACATCTCAGACAATTAACAGCCCTTCACGAAGCTTAACTATTACCAAAGCAGCAAAAATACTTCACTAAGAAGTAATAGCAAATATCTTTCTACAAACAAAGCAACAGTAAGCTTTAAATCAAAACAAACTCTGCGTGAGCACATGATTAATTCTGGGATTGGGAAGGTCTAAAGAAGGTGATGCTATGCTGAATGTCTCCCCGACAAGTTTTAAATCGCTTTCTCATTAGGTTCATAGAGAAAGCTGCCTGTCTATTAATTCCACATTTGTGAGTTTTTTCATGGAACAGCCATGAAATATTTCTCCTCCATTTTGGAAGTTGGTCATCGTCTTCAGATAACCACGCGGTTCCACTCAACTCAGCCACACAGAAGGAAAACCTGTCGCGGAATCCCCTTTAAGATAATTATTGCTTCTCTTCTCCAAAATCCGTATCTATGTTGTTTATAGCTTTCGCTGCCTGGATACGCATTCTAATTGCTAGTCATTTAAACCGCCCTTCGTTTGTTTCCCCTCCCCCCCATCTCAAAGGTCCTCTCAACCATGGTGTTTTGGGCGTTTCTTACCCAGGTTATCAGTAGATCTAAGTGTCTTGTAAAGAACTTCATTTACTGCTCACTTCAAAGATTTCACTTCCTGTCGTTGATATGATTAGCCCGAATTGCACTGCTGCTAACAGACAAAATCTTGAAAATCCAAGCAAGCACCCTAGTCATTTAAACTGCCGAATTTTTGAGTCAAATTTCTAGGTCTCAGTGTTAAGCCGCATCTCTGCGATGTGATTTGCTATGGTAATTCAAAACACAGAGGGAATGACCTGCCTCACTTTCCCCTTTTTCTTAATAGCCCTCGGGGCAAATGCCAACCTCTGCCAATTCGGTAGAGTAGCTAATGGGTGGATCATCTTTATCCCAATTGTGTGTTCTACAGGTGTTTCATCCCTCCTTCAAACTCATTAGCATAAACTAGTTTTGTGCAAATGTGATACTCCCTCACCCTCTCTCTCTCCTTTCGGCGTTCCCTTCAGTTGATTGCTTCAACGGCCGATCTCAATACATCATAACGTCATCATGAATGCAACATCCCATAAACATCCAAGAATAATTACGGTTTGGAATAAGAGGGAAAAGAGTTTCAATATGCTTGAAATGCCTACAGTGGTTGCAATCACTTCATTACCCCATTTTGGAACTGTAAGTGGGCTCGTGAATGAGTCCAAGTGACGTGATGGGGATGCTGCCAATAGCATTGGCATCTGATTGACAATGCAAGTAGGTTTCAAGGTAATTTCATTATAATTAGTCAATGATAGACGCGTTTCAATTCAATGAGCAACTCACAGACCAAATTGAGAGAAGTGGCACAACTTAGAATTGTACGATTAGTCAGTTTAAGTTAGAATGGTGATCCATGCAACGGTTAACCGTAAGTGAACACAAACCTTCCTTCAAAGCATTCGCCACAAATCCATTAGGGGAAATGAGACGACGATGTTAATCTTAATGCAAAGGTCTCCCATTCTGAGTCGCCTTTCCCGCCCTGCCTTCTCGTGCGTGCAGCCTGCCTCGAAGACACCGCTGAGTCACCGTGCCCCGCTTGCTTGCGTGCTGCCGCCGCCACCGCCGCCGTCGGGCCATGAGACGGCGGATTAGCCGCGATTTGCTAAAAAAGGCAACTACTTTCCCTTCCCCATCACTTTTTGCGCCTCAAAGCCACCACTTTGCAACTACATTGCGGTGGTTTTTGAGCATTGAATAGACTCGCGTTGGGAGCAGTCGGCCTAAGGGTGACTTGGCTGGTTCTTACCCAGTGAGTCAGAAGTTGGTTGCCTCCTGCAAAATAGAGGTTTTGAGAGTGGAAATTCAATAACTGCTTTGTGGTAAGAGGCAGGAGGCTATTTCCCTCTTTAATCCCCAAATCAGACTTGCGGATGTTTGATTTTTTGGGATTCCATCACTTCTGTGGTGTCCGTAATTGGATGATGACAAAATAGGTAAAAAAAACCCTCTCCAATGAATTGTCCAGCTTGACTAATCTCATTTGAATAGCGCAGCAGTATAAAAGAATCTTGGGTGATGCATGGCGTCTACTTAGTCGTCAAACCCTCACATAATGAGCCAATATCCCCTCTCCATCGCCGTAATAGGCAACAGCCGAATCCTGGTAGGTATCTACGACGCCAACATTAACCATATGGAAATACTTAAGCAAAATGAATAGCCTCAAATGGGTTACATCTGCTTGCCCATTTTCTTAACGGCTCAACTTCATTTGGATTTTCAGGGGCTGCTTTTGATGCATATGTTCATTTTTTGCTTAATTTTTAAATCAGGTGGTAAAATCCAAGACGGGTGGATATATTTTAATTCCTGTGATCGTTACCATTTGTTTGTCTTACCAGACCCTCTGACGGCTTACCCCAGGTTTTTTTATCGCCTGTGTGAAAGTAATTCACACTGCCTATTAATTAAGCCTGATTTTTTGAAACTAAATGCCAGATTTTAGAGTCAATCTAGAGATGGGCTTCAAGCGCATCTTTGAAACTTTACGCCTGCTCTCCCAAAAAAACCGGTAACTCTGACGTCACAGTAAATATCGATCGGCTTGCTCATTGGTCCAATCTTGCCTACAGTTGTTGAGACGCACGGCCACCCGCGGAGACATTATTGATTGCCCCAGCACAAACGAGATGCGGATGTGGTTTGGCGTGCTTGTGTCACCTAGCCCCAGCTCTGCACACAGGACAGTCACGTCCTTGTCTCTCTCTCCCCCCCTCACCCCACCTCCGTCTCATTGACCACGAATGAAGCGTGCTTCAGCCTTCCTCCAATCCACTGAAAACCACCCAACCAATTAAGGTCATGTCAATTTGACCATTCACCCCCCCAAACCAAGGGGACTCCACGGAAAGACGCGATCCCAACCGATCAAAAAGTGCGTTTCCTTAAACATCTGCAAAAGGTAAGTTTTTCCTTAACACCCATTCAGCGCCACCTGGTGCTTTAAATTGCCTGCGCCTGCAAGTGTACAACAGTGGAGATCAGAAAAGATTTCATCACTTCGTGAACCGCTACATTAGGAAACCAGATTTATTGCCTTTACCAAACAGGAAAACCGGTCGTGTAAATTTCTAAACACATGCACAATAACGACAAATTAAATGCCGAAGCAAACAAGTTTCTTTCCAATCAAAACCTACAGTGGAAGCAGTCGCACTTTGAACTGCAGTAGTAGTTATCGAAGAGTGCGCTAAGGATCACCAAATTTGTCTCCATTTTCGACGTCCACTACCTCGCAATGCGCCGAAATCGAATTCACTAGTTCTCCTTGCTTTCTTAGTAATTTTTTTGTCGCCACAGGAAAGAGATCCGTTGCGTAGCAAGTAATACCCACCCTTCTACTGCGATTAGACCATTTTTGACATCAGATTTCCTCTCTCCGCTCGTCCTATCAGAGCTCTGGCCCAGAATATCAATTTTTGAACTCAATAAAGGCAATATGGTTGTTGGGTATGTCATGGTGTCCAAAATTCCAAGCTATTATTTGAGTAGGCAAAAAAACACTGTATTAACTAAAGGAGGAATCAACCATCAAAGGTTAGATGCCCTTTCTTTTCCAGCATGATCGCATTCTTATTCTATTTTTTCTTAGTTCACAGATTTCCCTCTGATTAAACTACTTCACACATGTTTGACCTGCGGGGTCAGGGACCAGGTGAGACGATCTGCAGGTGATATGGCCTGCAAATGTGATAAGCAGGGGATGAAAATTATGCTGAATTTTATAGAAATGAGAGGGTGTATATTTTGTCCCGAAGTAACTCGCTGACTTGTTAAGCAGAAATTCCCAATACCTCGAATGGACTCTCTAAAATTTGATTTTACATTAGAGCTACCGAACTCACCCACTAATTTGAAAATTATTACTTTGAATTGTTTAGATGCTAAAAATGTGAGCATTTCTGTCAAAATTAGCCATCCTGAAGTCAATCAATCTCCCAAATTGGTACTGACTTGCCTGCGTCGGGCTAAAAGTGCAATTAAAAGCTATCAGTTGACAAAAAAAGGATTTACAGCATTTTATAGTCGTTTCTTTAAGAAATCACTATTTGAACATACCTGTCCACCACGAACAATTTTAGTAAGGTTATTTAGATATCTTCAAATTACAACTTCGAAATAACATGTTGTAGTGTAATCTTGAATACTTGGATACATTTTAAATGTTTATCACAGTGGTACTTCGAGAAACTAGGATTTTACACATACGTTTTGATGAAATATCGGCAGATTTTGCTCCAGCGACTTGTTAAATGAGTTTGAGAAGTGAGCATACAATGAGTAAAAGTACTGGTCGGCAAGGCAAATGTTGAGTGGTTAATGGCAAATACTGCCACATATTCACATCTGGAATGGAATTGAAAATGGAATCCAGACACTTTGTTGTTTCGCATAGTCATTAAGAGCAGAGGAAGGATAAATTACACGTTTTGGTGCGATGGGTGTTACACTTTCTCCCAAACACATTTGCGCTCATTGGTCGTATGCAGTGTCTTTAGTGTTGCAGTTAAACGCCTTAAATGCAAAATTCAGTCCGAGTTTAACCTCAGTGTAAAAATGTTGATTTTTCGTTGTGATTTTATGGTTTTCCACGGCGTGAAATTGAAGTACTCTTTGAATTGGCTTCAACTGAATCCCAAACCTTCTCCTGCCACTGGCTAAGAACTTGCCTGAAGTGATCGCGTAGAAAAGTTGAAGCTTCTTCATTATCTGAAATAGTTGATTACGAGACATCAGTAAATGAGCTTGAAGAGCTATAGGTTACTGGGAAAAATGCCGCCAATTTGAGGTTGAAAACAATGGCCAGGCATTGAGCCGACAAACAACAGTGGATTAATAACCAAAAATGCCTTCTCTCCTCTACCTATTTATAGCAACTTTTCAGTTTATGTACACTTTCTATTAAAAATGGACTCCGGTTGCTTTGTGTGTTAACAAAGTGTAGCGTCCCGAGACTCCCTGAAGACGAAAGAAGACGAAATACTCGGGCAGAATATATATATTCAGCACGGAGAAGGTGTCCGGGCTATTGGCATGGTCCAAAAGGCTAGCCCACCCAGCCGGGTACAAGGGGACTAATTCGAAGTACAAAAGTCGCGCCTCACCAAAACCGAGGGATAAATCACTATTGTATTACAAAAGCGTTGCTATTTTTGTACTGATAACTCGTTTTCCCTTCAAAGAATGCTGAAGCCAAATGCCTGCAGGACTTGACATGACCATCATTTTATTCACATGCCTGTTGTGTAGCTGCCATGGCTACGACCTATCCCATTTCCCATGCTTTAAAGTGGAACCATATCAAATTTCACAGCTGCCTAGTTATGAAGAGTTGTCCGATTTACTGATATGCCAAAAAGGCATGGGAAATGTGCAACTGGTCTCCCAAGGGCTTGGCGTTTATGCCCACGGATTGAACAACCATTTTCCACTAGTCTACTTCACCAACCGAGTGGCCAACACCTTTTATCTCAAATAGCCTATTCTATGATCAGGAGAGTTATGTGTGTAATTAAAATGATAGTTGGGGGAAATCTGTGGTCCTTTTTATTCCCTCGGTGTTGGTACGATTGCTTAAGTTGTTTTGCGCAATGTCGAAGCCTGGATGTTAGTTGCTAAGGCCATTGGAGCATGTGTACGTGCCCACACATGCGTAAACACAGGGTGAACGAATTTCGCTCCACTGTCAAATGCCAAGTGGACATCATGCTCACCTCGGCGCAATGCAGTAGAAGAGCTAGTACCACCTAGATGTGCACATTATCCAATGTAACCGACCACCCAACGTCCTTTCAGATTACCCCACCACTTAATGTAAATATCCGTTGATTCCGGCTTCAAGTGTCCTTTTTTCAGTGCATCCACAGGTCACAATTTGGCATCGATTGTGCCGTGGACACCGATTTATCCCCACACCGCACTGGGATGGGGAGGCAACGGTGTTGATTCGCTCGACAAGCTCGGGATGCTCTCAAAAACTCGAATTCTTTCATGCCTTTTCTCCTGAACTGCGGAATGCCTGCTTCGCACAGTGCCTCACGAGGTAGCAACCGTGATAAAATTTGTCACTTTCGTTTGATGCACATTTAATTGCAACATTACACCCGGAGGGAGAGAGGGAGGGAAGGGAGTAGCAATCTAACTACCGTATTAAGTAAAAGCCTAAATGGGGATAATATAAACGAGGCTTATGAATTTGTGTCAAACAGGTGGGCGCTAGTGTTATACACATAAAGAACGTAATATTTTTCTGCATAACTTCTAGATAAGAGAAATGCTAGATATACAACAATACACAAGATTAGATAATGACTACATCTGATAATACATTCTCGATGGGCCGTGTGCTAAATTAGTTAAACAGTTCATTCAACCCCGATTCACTCATTTACTTATTTGGTTATTCATTAATTCTTTCATCAACTCATTCATTTTAAGCATCCACTTTGCCTAAACATAAATTTGCACACGACGGTTTTAAATATTTTAGGTCCTACTTCATCGGGGTGTGGCTTTCCGGAGTCGCCTTTATCTGGTCGAATCCACAACCGTTACATTAGATAAGGTAAACGCTTGCCAAAGAAAGCAAATGAAGTTCTGTTGATCTAGACCGATCTTGAATTAATTTAAAAGGGAAAAGACGGAAAATCATTTTTTAAAATTATTCGATTGCTGCTTTGCAACACCGGTCTTCAATATTCACCTTAAATTACTGCCAAAATTAACACCTTGAAAGGAGATTCATTTTTAAAGCACTTGTCCACTTGACGTAAATGTGCTTCCCTGTTGAAAACTTTAAAAAGTAGGCGCATCTACCGTAATGCATTTCTCAAGCGTCACAGAATCGTGAAACCCTGATCATGTTCTCAATCCATGGGATTTAGTTTTAATTACATCTATTCACCCATTCCTATTATTCTGATTCAAACTTTAAAAAGTCCTTTATGGACCTGGATGACAAAATTCTCGATAACAATAATTAGGAATTTAGGAATTATCACCAATCGGTGTTAGCTTTCAAGAAGGGTTGCTATGGTGCATCAGAGAGGAGCTGTTCGAAAAGCTAGCACAAACTGAGTCATTGAGTAATAAACCACAACTGAATTACTTTCATCTACGAATTTTCCTACTCTCCCTGCCTGTGTCCTCGACCGAACGCTGCTTGGAGCACGCCATCGCATCGAGATACGGATCTCCCCTCTCAGCGAAATGTTACAAGGATTGAGAATCAGGCAGTTCTGCGGTGTCAGACGAAAGACGATACTAGAATGATCGTAGGAAAAGGTTAACCGGTGTAAACATTTCACACCAAGCGTTTTTACCATCACGAATGATAAACAATCTGGTCATTGCTATCACACATTGTACTGCCTGAAGACAAAGAAAATTTCAAACGATCCGTCATTATTAATTAACTGATCGTATTTCTTGAACTCATTCAACGCATCCTCATTTGGACGAAATACGAAATCTGAACTTTTACCCTTAATTAGAGATTTCATCAAGTATATGCTTGCCACGATTATGCAATGAACGATGTTATACTGACAAATACAGCAATAAGTTGTACACCATTGTTTACGGCTTAGACATATTGCTTGTGCATCAGTTGAGTAATCCCACCAGTTATTAATGTGAGAAACTGGAAGGCATATGAAAATTTATCACAGTGTAATCTACATTTGTCTTGTAGTTTTTCACCGTACTAACACGAAGGAATCCGTTTGTGTATCTACAAAGGTGTACCTCCAATTAATCCGCTCATCCCTCGGACCTCAGAGAAAAATTAGGCAGATGCTTCGTTGGTAATGTATAATACGAGTTGTTTTCACCCAATTTCACCCTTCTGAACTAACGCATCATTTTTTAACCAAGGCGTCACGAATATGTGACGCGTCGGCTCAAGGGAGCAAATCAAGACATCGCGTACGTGTTATAGTCAAAGTGAAAAATGATAATCTAAGACATCTAGCTGGTGATTTGGGCACAGCTGAGTTACCACCAGACCATGTAATCCGAGAGGGGCAATTTCGGAATGATTAAACTCGTTCCTTCCAGGCAAAAAACTAAAATTAATAGATGCTCAAAATACTCATCTTCAAATTAATACAGGCACCTCTATCCAGGCATCGTGGAATGTTCTCAAGTTGTGCGTCGAGGGGGTTACGGCCTCTTAGGCAGTCTAGACTCCAATTAGTCCTATTCAAACCCATTTGATTATTATTTCGAGTGGTGCCAGGAGAGTGCCTTATCAGGATGAAGAACCAATAAAATCCGAAGCTAGTTTAAGAGGATGCTTTTGACCCATGAGGTTAAGCTGCACGTGTGCGAGGAGCGATGTAGCACGCGATGTGACGCTGTAAAAATGCAGTAGCTGACGCACGTTTTCGCCATTAAACCAGGGTCAGTAGTGCAGAGGGATCGAACACTAACCCCTACAGCAACAACTTCGCAAAAGGATACCCCGATGACACCTGCATCAACTCAAACATTATTTTTACGACCGACACGACTCTTTTCAACACGTAGACTCTAGTCAAAATTCAACGGATAACAGAGTCGACTTCCACAATCATTTCAAAGACCCGCAAGGTTAGAAGCAAAGTTAACCAAAACCGATGAAATCACTTAAGTGTTTTAAAGTCCACGCACCCACCCACGGCACAATGTGCGTTCTGCGACACCGTCAGACTGGCCAGCTAAAAGTGACTCACAGTTGCAGCGACCTGACAACTATTGGTTGTCACACCTCCTTCCCTTATGATTGGCGAAATCGAGCATCGACCTAGAACGTGCACCGACCAATCAGAGCCTCGCGTAGTTGACGAAGCTTGCACCGTGCTTTAAATATCTCCCAGCCAATGGGTGCTGCGCAAGTTGGCTGGGCAGGACAGTCGTGTGCGCGTGCGTGAAGGTGCGTTTGCGCATTTATAAATTTGCTGCTTGTCTTTGAGACTTCGCTTCCTCAAGCGCTTCCGCACGCGCCCATAGTCGGGGTATCTCTTTGTCCTCTAGCGGTCTTTCGATCACCTCAGCATAATTAACATCATATCTGTATAGTGGATTGTATCTATCTCCATCGTCGCCTCACTTCGGTATGTTTAGTCGACAGATACAATTTCGTCAGCCTTAACAAATCGTTTTTTCCTTTTTAACTTTAAAGCAACAGGGTATGTGTACGATGGTCTTGATCTACCTGTTTTTGTATTTTTAATTATGGATTAGGCGTTGAAGGATCAAAAAAATAACGGAAATAATAATATTTTTGGGCTGTGGTAGGCAATTTTCATCTGAGGCAGACTGGTGGCCAAGTAGGTAAGGTTCTATGCGGGTGCCTGTGGTGGTCATGATAAACCCCACTCCTCTCAATCCACTAATATGTATATTTTTTGAACATTTGATATTACCCATGTTCATGTGCGTTTATATGGGTGAGTGGCCCATGTAGACAGGTTTTCTTTAGAGGCAATGGAGGAGTATGATTCGGGTTGGTTTAGGGATTATTGTGGCAGCCAAGCTTAATTGATCATAACGCATCCCTTCTCTGTCTCGGAAACATCTCTACCCACCAATCAGGTGATGCTTTGCTTTTCCTACGGACCAATCATCCGCGTTCACTTTACTTTCCCGGAGTGGGGAAGAGTAGATAGTACTGGAAACCAAACGGAAGGCGAATAACTCCTTATTTCCCACTATTTGTCTACTCCTCAGGTCTCCTCAATGCACACTAACCGTTCCACTTTGGGTTCGACTCGGGCTCTCTCCCTGAGCACCGAGCACATGAACAAGGAGCCCTCATTGATTGCCATCCCCCCTCCAATGTCCAACCTTCCTTACGACCCTCCTCACCTCTCTAGATGGCAACAGGCACCTCAACGATTTCAGGGATCCAATAACTCTCGCTCCGGTAGCGCTGTCGCTCCCCGAATCGATGTCTTACAGCAACACCAGTCCACCTCCAAGTCCGTTACTCTCAACGACCAGTTTCGCGCCCTCACTCTGCACCCCAGGAACTACTGTGATCCCCACCGGACGTCCACGATTCGGCCGGGAATTATAAACGCAACCACCTATGAACTCTCAGATGATCTGCGCGCGAAGGAGGTGGACCTCATGGAACGCTGCTATGGAGGGAGACTGAGGGCTCAACGTGCTGCCCGCATAATACAGCGCAAGTATCGTGAATATCGCATGCGTGCTCAGTACGCTCAGCTGAGGTCCGATCGACGGCTGACTAACCGACTAACTAATGGATTAAACAGCTACTATCCTGAGGACCAGCGTGAAGCACAACACTTGGCCAGTATGGAAGATCTTGTAATTGATCGAGCCTATCTGGACTGGGCGAGTGAGGCTGCAGGGAGTCCGGGAGGGGGCTCTATTCCTGACCTCACAATAGAGGCAAAGGGTAGTCGATCGTCCGCTCCATCGGGGGCAACTCAGTCTCCTGAGTCCGGTGAGGTTTCATCGCACTCGTGTTCCAATCTAGTTGCGCCAAAGAGCCAACATCCACCGCAGTCTTCCAGTCCTGGAACGGGAACCGGTTCTACCTCTGGTTTTGTCTCCTCCCCAGGATCGTGCTCCTCTGGCTCTCTGCCGACCGAAAATGTTACACTGAATACACAAGTCACAAGACAGTCGTTGGAGCATCAGACTCAACAGCCTCTTGTGTACTATGTCATGGATAGGGGGGAAGAACAACGTGCCCACCAGCAAGCACAACAACTTTACGTAGCTGTCCCCGTGAGATCGGATCAGCAGTACATTAATCTGGCACCTCAACACCAGCAGCCCCAGCAACAACAACAGCAACGGTATTTGACTCAACCAGCGACAGCAACCGCAGTGCTAGTTCGTCGCTGCAGCACGGGTTCGAACTCCGTGCAGGCGCCAGTGTGGTGTACTCCCGATGGGAAGATGTATGCTCTGGCCTACGCGGATCAACCGGCAACAACTCTGGTTGTCTCACCCCCCTCCCGCCAACCAATAGTCGTGGCTCCGATTCGGAGAGAGGGCAACTGTGGAGGCTTGGGGAACTCACCGGTCCTTGTGCAGCTCCATCACCACTCCACCTCCGCCTCTGCCGGTGTTGCCTCTGCAACCAACTTGGTGCCAGTGAGTCCGAGAACTCCTGTCACTAGCGCAGCAGTTGCAGACAGGTGCCGAAAACGGCTCTACCGAGTGTGCTTGAACTATTTTAACAAGTGGGCATTCTTCAACCTTTATTTTATATTTGTAGAGGAAGATTGAGGGTTTGACTTTTTACTCCTCTTCTAGGTCTCCGGTAAAGGGAATGGACATGTTAATTAGGTTCCGGTTCCTTGAGGCCTCTCCGCGACAGATAGCACGGTTTTTGCACATCCGCAGGGGACTGGCTCGTACTGCGATTGGGGAGTACCTGGGTGAAATGAAACACGATCTATGTGTCGCTACGGCTCGGTAAGTGTGTATTTAACTCTGTGGTTGCCTGGATCACGCACGGGTGCATTTTTTATCAAAGGCCAAGGGTGCTGTGTGAATGCTGTGTGTCATTTGGCATGGAGGTAAACAAACGTGTTAAAGAAGTCATGCGAACCTATTTGTGTACAAGGTAGTGTAGTTTCAAACTTCTGTTAAGTTGAGAATTTCCTGTACGTTCGCTCCCAGCGTCACATGTATGCCACCTCGATTTTCTCATCTGAGCTACTACGCCACCCATGCGACGTATATCGGGAGAAGAAAAATGAAAGCAAATGGTGACATTATTAGGCCGTAGCATCTGGGCTATGGTAGTTAGCTTCCGTTGGTGACCCCGATAGTGAATGTGGATTTCTTGATAGTTTAACAGTTTTAGTTTTAATTTTTCTCACGAAATTACGAAACTAAACACCTGGCATGCCTTTTGGAGGTAATGTTGCGTCCTCATTTGCATATGGCAGGAATGGTTGTTGCATCAAGTAGGTCTACAATAAAATTTTAAGGTCATGTTTACTCTAATTTCTTCTATTCAGAAATTGGCCTCCTACCTGTAGGCGTGACCTCTCGCACGCACACTTGGAGTCGTCTACTGAAGGAAATAGTCACCACCACTGTGTTGAGTCAGCGGAATGACTGGGTTCTTTTAGCTGTAGGCATAAATCACGCTTTGTCACTTTGTGTATGGGCTGTCGTAATCACACTCATTAACACTGGACAACTTTGGTGTACATGGTCCAAGTACCTGAATCGACGACATTCTTGGGAATACATTTTGTTCAATTCTTGTCGAGTATCTTTTGAATGGAACCGGTAACCACCAGACTGGAATTGTAGATAGAGGATAAGATAAAAGGAAGCCGGCGCACTGTTAGACTATGCATGTGTAATCACGCCATAAGATTCGAGTCCATTCGAGACGATTTCGAGTGTCTGCTACGCTGGTAGACCATGTAGTGTGTTTACGTTACTGGCGCTACAAGAGTCTACATTCAGCGCTCGCCGAGTGTGACCTCGTATTCATGCATATGGGACCTGCGAGTTTATCAGCGGTGGTGGTGATGGTAGTAAACACAGCTTAATACGATCTCTGTCTCCTAAATTTAGTCAATTTATCAGACAAGTGGACTTTCGGGAGAAGGAGATTGACGAGGCGTTGAGGCTCATGATGTCACTGTTCCGCACTCCCGTAAGTGTTCGTCCTTTTTGTCGTCCATTTGTCTGTCTATCTATCCATTCACCAGTTCGCTTACTCACCTACTGATGTCTATTGCAGGGAGAGTCGCAGAAGATAGTGCATCTCATGACGGCCTTTCAGTTGGCCTACGTCGAGCAGAACTCGGCGCGTGTGAAGGCGCAATTCCGCAACCCCGAGTCAGTGATGATCCTCGCCTACGCCATCATCATGCTTCACACTGACATGTACAGCCCCAATGTGCGACCCGGCTCAAAAATGACCCGGGAGGACTTTGTCAATAACCTCCGTGGCATTGACGATGGTACGCTATCATCCTCCTCCCCTCTCTAGAGCCCATGCTCAGTCCTCAATTTTCTTCAAAAATGAGTTAACTTGGACTAAAGTTAAGCACAAATTCGATGAACACCCTCCTCTTCTGGGGATGTAGTTGACTCCGGCAAGCTGCTTTGAAGCCTTTAGGCCGTTTTGGTTATGTTGAATGGGGTGTTTTTCACACCTTAAAAGAGGTAATTGCATATCTGGAAGAAGTGGTAGATAACGTGAGTACGACAAGTTTCCAAGTTGAACTCCCGCACTTTGGATGGCGATATTACCTATGGCATGCGTGTTCGAATGAACCGAATCTTAAGCCTCTTTGGTCGATCTCGATTGCTCAATTGAAAGCTTCCATCCTTGATCACTTTGTTCAATTAGGTGATTGCAGTGAAAATCCAGGCACTGTAGGAGATTAACTCGATCGCATTAAAGTGAAATGTAAGAAATATATCATAATCTCTTAGGCCTAGCGCTGTATTGCAACAAGTTGCCTACCTTTTCTGCGAATCATGCCAAACGAACCCCGGAGGAGATTCGTTTCTCTTCACATTCCTATGGCTAGGCTTTATGCGTCAAAATCCCAATTACTTCGAAAGTGCGTGAAATTACGGGGGTTCGTGATTGGATTATTATTGAATAAAAACATTTTACTAGTGTTAAGTGAATGTTTTATAATAGGAGTCAGTTGACAGGGTGTATTTTTTAAATCACACAGCAAGGCAAGCCTCTTCTGTCCTTAGCGTGTTTTAAATGGTACAGAAAAATTGAAATTTTGTGGTCTTTTAAAAAGGCTTAAAATTTCTATTATTTTTGACTGATTCTAGTGGCAGACTTGGCTTTCTTTTTGTATGAGAAAGACCCCTTTTATTAAAATCTGTTGATTTTCGCCAGTGGAATTATTTTTGACCTGCCAACTCTGTTCTACACCCTGAGCCCAAGGAAGAATGCACCAATATCTGCTTGCTCTTGACGCAACAGAAGTGACATTTGGCCGTCGCTCTCGGTGAAACAAATCTCACACAGTAGTGACAAACAAATTCCCATTTTTTTTCGCCCATGTGGGAAACTCGGTCATTTAGCCCTCTCCAATAGTTGAACCGGAGTCGGATTAATTATCTCTGGGAAAAGGAATGGGAAAGTCATATCATTCTTCAAGTAGCGGTGGAATGTTCTTTTTTTAGCAAAATTGGTCAAATTTTCCGATTTCAAATTGGGGCTTTTTTAGACCAATATTTTTCTCTGGTAGATACGGCATTTAGTAGTCGAACGAATGTTGTCGAATATCTGCGGCCACTGTTTCCTTGAACTCGTTCACCTCAGCTGCCAATGATCTGATCCTCATTTCAAGCCTCCCGCGTAGATGATGCAAGTGAAATTCTCCTATCAACTGTGCATGCATCAGCAAATGCACCTGTTGTGGACCATGTCATAACGTTTTCTAGCTTGTTCGCTTCGATTCAGTTCCACTACGACGTTCGCACTTGAAAATGGTAGGAATGTCCGTTGCTTGTGGAAGAGTGAACATCTCATGCCTAATGGTCCAATGACTTGCGGAGTTTACCATTGAGGAATCAAATTTACAGCTTAATAGCATCTTTATTAGTGAGCTCAGTGCACTCCCTCAAAGTTACAAGGACTTACGATCGACACTCGAACTTGGAAACCCTTCCTGGTTGTCCATGCCGACCCCAGCACGGAAGTTAGGTCTTTTTGTCCTTTTATCACTTGAAAATGTAAAAGATGTCGCTGTGTGTCTCACGGCTCGATAAATTGTAATCACAGTAAGGATGTCTATCCCTCATGGGACCAACGCTCTTCTTTTTAACCAGCCGGATGGCTCTCCACGATCCGCTAACAGTAGTCTTGCCACCTACCTGATTGTCTTCGATTGTGATTTGATTCACTGTTTTAGCGACTTTCACTTGTAGCTTCCTTTATGAATCACCGCAGATTCGGTAATCGTCGGCAGATGTCTGCATTTCATAACGTTCTGACGTGATATTCATTTAAGGGAATCGGCATTGCTCCCAATGCACCCCTGAAGGTGTTGTATGGCTTACCCGTATTGAAGCAGTTTCGTGATCATGTCAAAGAATTGGAAGATGCCTGTGAAAAGTAGATTGTGGGAGGCTGACAAATACCAGCATAGTAACGTGCAGCATTAAAATAAATATCGTTTCTCCAATTCTTCTCTTTTATGAGAGATGTCATTAATCCGATCGTGATGGTGCCCGTGCAGGAATGAGCTGTTAACTCGTACTTGCTTTTGTTGTCATTATATTTCTGGCTCATGCGTTTTCGACGTGTGAGCCACGAACCCACATTCCAATGGCCAATTCTAAATTCATTTCTCCTCAAAACTTTCATTACGATCTTCCCTCCTTCCCCACCCATTTTCTCCAGTAAATACCAACTTAGGCACTGGCAGGATGACGACTGGGGCGGTGTAATTGAAATCCAGTTGAGATTTAACGACGCTTGTGACCCAGACGCCATGGTTACCAGTGCGGGAGACGGGGCATGTAAATTAGTCATGCACCTACCACACTGGCCTACCAACCACCGCCACCCAGACAGGCGAGCCGGCGAAGCTGACAACTGACCGATATTTGTTGCAGTGGCCTTTGAATTACCCTGCTTTTAATACTTGGGACTTGGACAATTCTCCACTTGCAGCTGAAAATGCGCCACATTCCCACACAGACGGAGTGCCCATAGCCATTCAACTTTTGGTGACTTGAAAAATGTCACAAATACCGATTTGCGGTGATTAATGCCTCCAGACATTAAGCAATTTATGAGCGGTGGGGTCAAAACAGCTGTCTCGTTGTGCGCCTTCTACTGCGTTTAAAGCTGCCGGAAATACCAGAGGTGGGGCCTTAAATGCTTTCTGCTGCCTTAGAAGAGCCTAATTCCACTATCAAAGATGCCTGGACGAATTTTATTAGCTCATATTTAGTGAAATGTCGCCAATGAGGGGGTCTTTTTGTTATAATTTTATTTATTTTTGTCGATACTATTTTGCCATCACAGGAGAAGAATTTTGATAAGTACATTATCCAAGTCGCAAATGCTACCTTTTGGAGAAAATTATCCTTTTTTTCATAAAATTCTTTGAAACTTATGGGAAATATATGATGTCTGATGTGGGAAAGCATTGCTATCTCAACAGTGATTGCAATTGAAAACTCGCTTGAATGCGTGTTTACTATTATCCCCGATTCTTCTCTCACTCTTCACTATACGAGGCGTACAAAATTAGCGATTTTTGTGAAAGAGTTGATATTGGTACTAAATTATTTTCTTTTATGGCTACAGAGACGCATATAGGGAAGGGGAGAGAATTCTTCCCATATTTGCATAAATTATTCCCAAAGTGCGGGCGTAGTTTTAGGTTGCTTTACAACTTGAGGGAGAGTGGCGTGGGTAAAGGCAATAGTTATATCTAGCAAGGATGAGTCTGTTTTCTGCTGCCGGGCGTCCAATAGCTTCCTCAAATTGCATTTCGCTGGCTTTTTGAAAATAGTTGAATATTGACTTCAATAATTTAAACGACCTTTGATTCACAGTTAGTTGTCTATATTCCATCGTTTGACCAATCCAGTACGGACGATCAAGAGTCAAGAGGCTTAATCCACGGCGCAGGGTGTACCTCCGCTGGACTAACAAGCTTTATTCTGAAATGTGGTTTGATCATTGTAACTGAGCTAAGCTGAAACCGAGATGGATAACAAGGTGAAAGCTGTAACTGTAACCTATCAAATGATCTACACAGTTTTACACTACAAGTTCAACAACAGTAGTCTGTTTGAAAAATAATTGGATAAACGGGATTAATGGATTTCTCACCAAATAAGCGAATAACATAGAGGCTATGGCCTCGAAACTCCTTATTCTCATGCCAAAGGAGTGTTGCACTATACCACATTGTATTGTTATGTGCATGCATAAACTTTAGTTAGACCAAACTTTGGTCCAAGTTCGTGTATCGTATGAGGCCTATTCAAGCCAGAGTGTTTTTTTTTTCACTGACTAAAAGTAAATCGTACTGTGGAGGGGATGCAAATGACGATTTCGTTCTGCTACTTAGAGCTGACGCACAAGTTATAGCCCTGTTCAGACGCCTGATTAAGATGGTATCCAGACTGCAGTCACAGTGTTTACACGCAGAACAACAAGTGGTGATATTTGAACTTTCTTGTGGATAGAAGTGTAGAACTTGCGGAACACTTAAAGTACTGTGCGATGCGGTGATGTTTTAAGGTCACAGTAAGACGCTTGAATGTGGCAAACTTTTCGAAGACGGCCGTACGTTTGTATGCTAGTGAAGATCTCGGTTTCGGTGGTTTCCGGTCCATAGCAGTCATTCCTGTGAATAATCGGTCGTTGCGAAATTGCACAGGAGATGGATCTTTTGTGAGTGGTGAACGCACTCACTTACGAATGTCTGGAATTTTGCAACGTCAGCGAAAGTTGAGTGCAGCTACGACTTTTCGAAGTACGCCATCCTAGGACAGTTCAGCAGTGCTGAAAAATCTTTCTGTTCTGATGCTTTCCAGATAGAACGCTGGAGTGTGTAAATAATAACGCAGTTCTTTCATAGATTTAGAAGTCTCGATTTTGGATGGGTGGATGGCAGCTAATGGAGTCGTTTTTGTTGTTTAACTGGCAGGCGAGGACCTGGATAGGAACCTGTTGCTGGCCATATTCGATCGAATGCAGGCGGGCGAGATGCTGGTGGCACCGGACCACACGGATCAGGTGCGTCGTGTTCACCGCCTCCTCACTGGACCCCTGCGACCTACTAATCTTGTCCTGCCCCAGCGCCGTCTGGTCTGCTACTGCCGTCTCTATGAGGTACCCCTCTTCCTCCTCCCTCTCTAACACTTAAAAGCATATCTAGTCGTCAGTCGAATAAATCATCCTGTGAACATTTTCCACGATTTAGAGCGAGTTAGTTCTAGATTTACGGCACCCATTAATTTGACGGACTTCGAATTTGCGAACAGCGGTGGTAAAACCATCGCATTAATTCGGACAAATTCCTGCTGCAAATTAACTACTTCACTCGAATAATTCGTACGCATATTTCCTCTCCGACTTCCCACCTTTTAATGCGTGTATGCAGTAAGTCCATTCCCCTAATATCCGCCAGAGTGGCTGATTTCACAAGTAATTTCAACGTGTTTGCTTTCTTGTTGAAATCTCAATTCAGCAATAGAAAAATTCCATCTTGCTATATTTCGTAGAGGCGGTGTGTATTTATGCCCCTTTGTATCCGTTATTTCAAATGCATCTCAGTAATGCAATCTGGAGTTGATCAAACGGCCTCAGGTTTTGTTTCTACCTCCTCGATTGACCGCATGCAAGGCTCTTGGAAGCCGGGTCACCACCCAGCTCGACATCGCTTTTTACCTCTAGATAAAGGTTCATTGACTATTTTTTCTGTTATTGTATAGGGTATCCCTGGTTTGTGTTTGAGCACAAATTAGGCCGCAGAAAGTCGACAAGTGAGCAACGCCTAAACATATTCAGGGCACGATTTTTCGGTCTGTGATTTTGATGTATTTAAGGTCATTAATACTTCATTAAATTTAGGATTTCTGTCTAAAATGATAGTTGTACTAAGACGGAAATACTGTTACAGTTGAGAAAAGATGTAGAAAACTGACTGGAGGCAATTCATTTCATTATTTGATTAGTTGCCTTACGTGATTTCGAGGCAATCTTCCGGTGTATGGACAGATTGAAGTGCTCCATGACTGGAGAGGACAATTCAATTGACATTTGCCTCAGTGCTGTTGTGCGTTCGAAACCCACCTTTTTTGGGACTTGGTTATGATAGACTGGTCTGTAGGAAAGTGGCACACAATTTGCACTGGGTGCGATCTGGACTTTCGAAGTAGATGAATGCAATGATAAATTTAATCCAGCATCGTCCAATTCAATTTAGCTGAAATCCCTGTTTAAAAAATATTAGGGGATATAGCATAGAATTCGTCTTACAAGTAACGTCGCATCTTTTGGTTTGAAGTCAAACTGCTAGATACCTGGAATCGAAGTGCGGAAGCATTTAAAAAGAGAATTTTATACAGTTCTATTTATTTTTTCTCCTACTTTATTAAAAGCATTTTTACACATAAAAGCATATTTCTCTTCAAGATCAAAAAAGTGACAATTTTGATAAAATGGAGGGTATGTAGCACCTAGAGTCTTTCCTGAAGTCGTAAGAAATCTGAGCAGTATGTATTACTGACGTACAGAAGGACTGAGAGGCTACTGACATGAGCAAGAGGCCATGTCGCTGAGTGAAAGTACAATCTGGAGGGACCTAAGTACCCGCGCAGTCGAATGCAGAATTAAACAAACTAGTAATACATCGCATAGCCCGTCTTTCTTTTGAGCGTCGTCTCCGGCGCTCTCCTCAATCAGCCTTCCGCATCGGTCGTCCCAATGTAGTCGGTGTTTTTCAAAAAAAAACCTCCACGAACCAGTTGCACCAGTCATCGAATTTGTGTGCAACTGAGAAAATATTTAATCCCAACGTCACTGATGCAATTTGGCAATTCCACCGACTCCTGAGTTTTTTCCTGTTTGGAAATGTGTTGGGAAAGGGGAAATGTGCTGGTCATCACGCAAATCCATCGCTAGTCGTAACAACACTGGTCTAAGAGAGGAGTCATTTAGTAAGGGACGGGATTTCGGATGCTTTCGTGGGAACAAGGCTTTGCGTCTGTTCCTTCTTGCCACTTTGTTCGCCCCTCAGTGATGCCAGCCGCATCTGCCCCTCCGGGTTCTATCCAGCTAGCAGAGAGGTGGAGGAGGTATTGCTTGTTCATCTAGTTGACTTCTTTACATAGGTATCACAGACAGCTCAGCAATGAACTTTCCCAAATGGTTTAGGGCTAGTATCTCCCCATTTACTAATAGCATTCTCATAGAATGTGGGACTGAGGCAGTTGCCGAAGGTGGACGTCATTCTTCAAACCTTCTGTTAGGGTCGTCACAGATTCTCCCATCAGGGGCAGATGCCCCTCTTCTGTCACGTTCAGGTTTAGCATTCAGTAAAAGGAATGAGGATATTTGTCCTTTAGGGTAGGGTTCGCTCTCGGCTGCCACCAATTTATCTCCCCGAGTCTTTTCTGAAGACGAGGACGATTGTCGAGTGTGATGGAGAATGTAATACTGATATACTAAAGGACCGAGAAGCTACCGGTATGGCCCGGGGGCCATGCAACTGACCAAACGTCCAATCCGCGGAGACTTCAGTGCCTACGTAATCACAGAGTTAAATATGCTATCTACTCATTGCAGTTGGCTTTCATTTGGACTTCTTCAACAATGTTTGAATTATTGGGGGGATAAATCAATGCACAAAACCGTAACAAAGGAATGCCGATTCTTGGGGGTGTGAGTGGTTCCCGACTATGGTCGTTCTTTGTTTTTTTGGCCAAATTCAGTTTTTTTATGGCCCCACAAAGTGGCTCACTTGCACTTCGGTGTTGACGCTTCTACTAGGACTTTGTAAGTAGAATTTTCTCTTCACCAGGTCCCAGACAAGACAAAACGCGATCGGAGTGGGCCACACCAACGGGACGTGTTCCTTTTTAACGACCTCCTTCTAGTGACAAAGGCTATTCGCAAGCGTCGAAAGGAGTCCTCCTCATCCACCTCTTCCACTGCCACCTATCAGGTGCGCGCGTGTATCACTCTGCTGGGAATCCGAGTTACCACCTTTGAGACAACGCACTACGAGAATGGCTTCTCGCTTTACCATGTGGATCAATCTAGTGCTGCTCTAAACAGTGAAGGTGACGAGAAGAAGAAAAGCTCGGCGTCGTCGTCGTCATCGACATCAGCGAAGCGTGCTAGTAGTCTGAAGAGTACTAGTGAACCGTCTCGTGGTAATCCGGTGATCAGTTTCAATGCTAAAACACAATCAGATAAACTGCGGCTTCTGGAGGACATTCAGGTTGGCTGATGCCTTATCTCTCTTTCTCGCATGTGGAAAACAAGTGTTTTTAGCTGGGATGGATAGTCCCTCTTGCAAGTAAATCAGTATGAGAGGCCGCGCTTCCCATATTAGTACGGATAATATAAATCCTAGTTGCGGAAGATTTCTCTAAAAAGTCAATAGTTTGCTTTTGTGTCTTAGGATAGAATATTTGTGCGTTATTAAGTTGCATTTTGATCCAAGTAACTAGTGGCTTCTTTGTACTGTTCAGGTGGAATTGCATTCTTATCCATTACTTTCCCTTTGCTTAAGGGATGTTTTCGAAATAGACAGTTTTCAAGACTGAGGCAGAAGCAGTAGATGGGGCTTGGTCCGTTTTGCCTAGAGGCGAAATGTTGTATGGAAGTAGAATCGACAGGGTTGCGTCCCGTTGAAAAAGGGCGATGGGTTGTAATGCTGATTAATTCGACGAATGAACTATTCGAAGAAGCTTCATGCAGCCATTTTCCTGTGGACACCGCACGTAATTATTTGCCTATCTTGTGCTTTCCACAAATTTTTGAGATAAATTATCAAGTGAACAGAAGATGAATACAAGTCCCAGCTATGTTCGTTGAAATTGTTTGCACTGTCATGGATTGTTTCGCCAGTTGCATTTGTCTGAGTTGATGGAATTTCTCCAGAACGCAAGAACGCGACAAATGAATCTGGAACCAGTCACGTTGTTAGCATAGGAAGGGGATGGCAGACCAAAAGCATGGATAACATGCCCATAACCGTGCTCTCGGCGAGTTAACCGGGTCGCAGGAGATTGCGAAACCCGTGTCGTTTAATGCACAGCAAAAAGGTAAAAGATAGTATTATTCTACTACATTGGCGCAGCAAATATTCAAAGCAGGAGAGGTAGTGAAATCACAAACATGAAGTAAATTAATTGTTATAACTATCACTTCACAGGAATGCATAACCGAAACGCTAGAAATGGACCGAATTCGGCTAGATGACGTGCTCTGCAAGCAAGCCCCTATCGCAAAACCTTTGGACGCCGTCGCCGCGATCACCTATGGTCTTCCGCAGGGGACAGTGGCGGTGGCGCCGATGCCTCACTCCCGCCACACGAGAGGCGGCTGCTACCCGTCCCATTTGAGCCCCGACACCACCTCTCTGGGTTTACTCGCCTCCGCTCGCAGTGCCGGTGTCTGTGCACCCGGATACCGCAGCCACCAGCACCAGCAGAATCACCACGCGCCTGCCTTGCAGCGGCCAAGGGCCTATGTCTATCGCTCGCACGAGCAGTCTCACTAGTGTATGGATGTACATACCCGCGCATGGGACTATCTCTGTCAATTGTCGCTCGCCGACTCTGTGATACTTCGAAGGGACTCGACTCTTTCCATCCTTCTCTTTGACACTATTGACTACCTATATACCCGGCTAATGTTGTGTAGGAAACTAAATCATTTGCATCCTCTCGATCACTCTTCTACTCCTCTTTTTGCTATTGAGAGGAAAGTTCAAGCTCACTTATGTTATCGAATTGACTCCCCTACATACTTGCATGTAGAGTGACAATAGCAGGTGAGCGTTTGCCACGAGCAACTGTGGAACATAATGAGGGGATAGAAGACGCCAACTAGCAGCTTGTGAGCACGGGTACGGTACACCTAGGTATCGCACGATTTCCGATGGCCTTCTGAGGCGCGCCATGTCGGTTCACGTGTGCCTTCCTTCTTTACCAGGCTAGTAGAGCTGGATCGGGGGTGATAGTATGTGTGCATATTTGTTTATGGTAGAGTTTATGGTATTGACCTCTGGAGGTCACTTAGCGTCCAGGAAGGTTCAGTTCAGTCGAAAGAAGACGTTAGTACATAACTCCAAGTACTAGTCTATCGCCTTCATGTTCCTTGAAGTACCCTACTTTGCCCAAAATTTGATGACTTCGTGGCACCTTGCATCACTCTGGAGGTCTCCACACGGACCAAGATCGTAAACGCAAACCTTAAAGGCTAAGAAGTCTCCGTAGTTTGACATTCCAAAGAATGCCCCTTCCATTACCTTGCGCAGCACTAGGAAGGCTAGCGTTGCTTGGTATACCCCAGATTCGGGCGGTATCAAATAGCACTGATCGGCCCCAACTGAGGGATTTCAGACGTGCTTCAACGGATCTATTCAGTCGTATTTTTGAAAAGAGGAAAGGCTTTCATATCATCAGCTCCATAAACATCATGCCAGTGACATTTAAAAAACTGATAACCGGAACTACCGACGGAACCGTACAAAGTCCCTCTGATTTGGCAGACGCGGCCTCGATTAATAATGGTCTAAGCAAAATAAATGACCCTAATTTCAGAAGTTGACTTCTTCCGCAAAATCCTAACAAAAGTCTCCAAAAATAGTTTTGATTTGGGAAAAGTCAGCTCCGCAGTTCTAATTTCTCGCATTTTATTTTGCTATTATACTCCTAGTTGTTCTTGATGGTGCGATTTTTGAGGACTAGTAAAAAAATTAAAAGATGGCTTTAGGCCCAAATTTACATTCCGTCTTGATGTCAGGCCATTACAAAAGAACTTACCGGTGTTGTCGGCATCCATTTCCCAATTACATGGTTCAGCTACAATACTTTCATCAGAAGATCAACATAAATGCAAAAGAGGTGAACCCAGAACATCCCTTATTTAGCAAGCGTTTGGCTTTCAATTATGGCACTTTATACCATCTCCAAAGGTCTACTAAGGTGTGCTGCTGTTGTTAGATAACCTTGCTACCAGGATAATCAAAGACCCCCCTGACGTTAAATGTAAATAGATGGAATTTTACTCAACAAAGAACACAAACTTGGTAGACGACAAAATAACAAAGGAGACGCGAAGTCATATGCACGTACAGACAATGGGTAATCTGACTATTTTGTCAGTTCACAGATACGGTATTTATTAATCTCAAGGGTGGTTATTCTGGTGGTATGACAAGCGCATCTCCACCCCACCATAAATGGTTCACAAATCAAACGCGAAGATTAGCGAGTACATCTGCGTGGGCTGCGACGCACTATCACGTGGTCTGATTCCATAGGCAAGGTGTAATTTTGACCTTTTTTTTCAAATACATAAGTAAGTCGACCATGTAAAGTTTGGAGGCGAAAGGAATGTACTGATTCGTACGATATGAAAGGAATGCTTTCAAGCCACGAGGAAACAGTCCGAGGGAATTAAGCATAATTTTCATCACTTTTCTTGGGGAAGCAATCAGCTAAATGAGGAGAAAAGTTGCATAAATTCACTAAAACGTGAAGTGACAAAGGTACAACGCATACACTAGAAACTCATCCACCTAGGCTCGATTTTCTGCCTGAAAAGTGCTCCCTTGAATCCATCGCCAAAAGCCCAAATGGATCAGTCTGTCGTGTTGTTGCATTTATAAAACAGTAACATTGATTCATTTCTACCAGGCATTTAAAGGTTCATTTTAGTTTAAGTATATGTCTATACTAGTGCCATGGTGATTTACACCCATGACTGACATGTGATGGTCGCCGCAATCGCCACTTTGGTAGCTTCTTTCTCAACCCTCGAGACGGGGCGAGATTGATTTGTCTTGGAGAGTCTTGATGAATACAAAAGGTAATTTTCAATGAAGTAACCCGCATTCCAGACCTCAAAGAGTATCCAAGGTATAACCAATCAACTGAAGTGGTTCGGGGGCGGATTTGCGTGAAATTAACATCATGCGTTGTAGTGCATGACAGTCAAAAAAAGCTCTCAAATGCAGATATTGTCAAACCATTAGCATTTACCACGTGCGGCATTAAACAAACTCGTGGAAATGGGAACCCAAAAGCATGATGTGCTGCCTGATTGCAAAGCCGACGATTGAGTACTAACACGTGAAACGCTTTCAAATGAAACGGTTTCAGCATAAAACGCACTTTACTAAAAACAGTTTGTAAGCCTAAATACTAGTGTTGCACCCCCAGACTTCCCTGGTGCCGAAAGAAGACATAAAACTCGAGTAGAATATGTATTTCCAACGTACAGAGGGGCTTGGGGGCTACCAGCATTGCTCGCAGGTCAGGTCGCCCGGCGGAGGTACAATGGCACATCTCCTAAGTGGCTCAGTACCAAACCCGAGAGCTAAATAAAAATTAACGTATTACAGTGGTACCGTCATTCTTACTTTAAAGATTAGACGTCAAGCCAGCAAGATGACGCTTGTTTGAGAGAATTCGGGTTGAGTTTGTACTTTTTTGCCGTAAAAGGGTAGCAGATCGAATCCGAGTAGTTTGAACCGACTTGACAGTGAAATAGGCACAGAATTTTTGCAATTGATTGATGTCGACAATATGTTATCCTCTTTCCCACCGCATTAGAATAAATAAATCCCTCCAGTTCTGCTAAATTCGGTGCAGCAACATCTAATCGGGTGATGTCGCGCGATCGACGGTTCAACTGTGAGCCCATCAATCACTGCAAAACATGGTATTGGGCTCTCATGATATAAGAATGAGTGGTAGAGGTGGCACTTGTCACCACCTTACCTATTCATAAGCCGAACGCTCCCTTAGAGACAGTTATGGTCTCTCTACTTCAAATATTGCTAATTTCGGCTATTGCGGTCTCCATTACCGCTGTACTGATCATGCCAGGTAGAGAAAAATCTCGACTAATGAAACGGGAACTGCACCTCAACAGGGATAGTCTCACATACTTGCTGTAGTGTCGGATAATAATACAGGAGAAATGGTCGCTAGCATGAGGACGATAGAGAAAAAGACGCGGTCAAGAGTTTGTTATTCTGATATAAATAGCCAAACTAGAAATGATGAATTTACAATAAATTTAAGCAGCAAAACCGAACTACCAGACGACAATATTGCAGCAAAAAACTCCTAAAAGCAGTAGAACTGTCGACCTGCCTAAATCACAACCCCGATATTCATGCTTTGCTGAAGATCGAAACCTTCAAAAAAGCCCACGCACTCGAGCTACTCAAACTGCCCCTTGTCATGTTACACCTGACGCATGACAATCACTCACGGAAATGTTGGAGACTAACCAGGAAAACAGGTGTAACTTGGGAGAGCACTAAAAATGTACTGCCACGCCAGGCGGATATTTACCAGGCAAACAGACACATTCAACCGCTGAGTAAATCAATCGGCAGACACTTTGAGTCACCGCGATCGTAAGACAAGAGAAACTACGAATCTTGGCCTGAATCTTTCACGGAACAGAACAGGTGGTTTTTATTAGTGGTAGATAAACTGGTAGAACAAGGCCCACACAGATTTTCCACGCTCTTAAAATGTACAAATATTAATAAAACCCAATTTGAAAGAGTGAGAAAAGAGAAAAAAGGTCGTTTTCTTAAGAAAAATGATCTGCTGGATAACCATTGAAATATGTTGGTCAGAGGGGAGCAGATTGGGGAAGCATAAACGTGCAGGTACGCGAGTGTGCGGGTGCGACAGAGATTCTAATTTACAAGAAAAACGATGGTGGTGACGGAACAAGGGCTAGCGCTTGAGGTTACGCAGACGTGCCTCCAGTTCGTCTGTTTCCGCAGAAGCAGTGGGGTCGGCACCAGCAGGAACAGGCATCGCTTCGCCCCGATTGCCTGCCCCCTCCGCACCTCCGATGGTACCTGCCATCGTGGGCAGACCGTGAAGCCCATCCGACAGCTCAATGCCCAACTCGTCCAATACCTAAGATAATGCAAACCTAAACGTTACTTAGGTCATCTATTAGGCACCATCCTAAAAACCCATCTCACCAATCTTAAGGAAGCCAGAATCCATGTCTAGAGTTACTCACATCCCATTATTATGCAAGGTGGAATATCTAACAATAGAGATCCAAAGAGACATTGAGTGTTTGGAGGAAGAGAACTGGTGTTTGAACTGTCTCAATAACCTACTGTAGGGTATTTATAAGTGGATTTACTAATATCACAACAATACGCAGAATATACTTATGCCAATAACTTAAGCAACACTTCATTACTCTTACAGTCCTATAGAAAATATGCACTGAGCAGGAAATCAGGATCCCAAGCCCCTCATCGTAAGTAACAGGAAATTATCGCACAAACGACAAAACAAAGGCAAACTGGGAACAATACTAAAGATTATGCCTAGAAAACAAAACATACTTGTTTAATAACGAGGAGCATAATTTTGATGAAATGCTACGAAACTTACGTGTCTACTCGTGGAAAATTTTACCAATTTGCTACTACTTAAATAGCTAGTACCAAGATACAAAGTACAAACAAAAGAATGGTAATAGAACAACAATTTTACCTGTTGAACGACAGCCTCAGTAGCTTCGTCATCACCCTCTTGGTCGAAAACATCGTCCATAACGTCAGAGATCATTTCCTGTTTCATCTCCATTCTTGAAGACTCCTTCTCAAACTCGCGAAGAGTCTTTTGCAATGCAGGCAGCTTCATTTGTCTATTCATTTGAACTAGCGTACGCGTGACCAGTTTCATCGAGTCTGACATTTGAGCAGTTGACTTCAGTGTCTGCATATTCAACGAAATAGCCTGAATGCTCGCTCTCATCTTAACGAGTTTGGTGATGTACGCTCGAATCCGGACCAAATCTTTTGCCATAATTTTTACAGTCTCCATTTGGTTCTGTTTAGCCATCCTACGGATATCATTTGTAATTTTAACTTGTTCATTTTCAAGACGCTGTTTTTCGCGATCCAGTTCCCTCATGGTTCGTTGGAGAGCCCGATTGTTTTCTCTCAGTTGTTCTTGAGGAGTTTTCCTTTTACCAAACACATTCATCATTATGTGAAACACAGAAACCCCCAAGAGAGAACGATGCCAGTGAGGAAGCGAAATCCGCAATGACCGCCTCCAAACTGTAAACCCAAACAACCTTATATAAGCCAGTATAATTTGATGACTAATTAGTTCGGTTTATTTAAATACATCAGAATTAAAATCTCTTTACATCTGCAAAAAGTTTAGATTGCATTTTGGATAAAACAGTTGTGGTCAAATTGCGAATATTCCCGTCCAATTTAATTAGCCCATTTTTCGCTCACCACGCTTAATAGTTGTTTAAAAGAATTATCAAGCTACTAAGACAATTTCGAGATGATAGCGATGTTGCGAAAACTCATTTCAGCATGCACCTGGGGATGAAAGGAGCCAAAAGCATGCGCTAGGTACCAGAAAATCGATTTGCTTTGGTGGACCGAAAATCTCATTGAGCAGTGGACACCGTTAGAACAAGTGTAGCGTCCCGGGACTCCCTAAAGACGAAGGAAGACACAATACTCGGGCAGAATATATATATTCAGCACGGAGAAGGTGTCTGGGCTATTGGCATGGCCCAAAAGGCCAGCCCACCCAGCGAGGTACAAGGGGGCTAATTCAAAGTACGAAAGTGG